AACAAATTGAAAACATTGCAATTATATAGACTGGGGGTAATAATATTTATTTTAAATGAAAAATTATAATGTTAATTGTATCTTCATAAATCCTAAAATACTTTAAATTACTAAATTAACACTAAAATGGGCATTTTTGAAAAACAAATTATGCATGATCATGGTACTAAAATAACTTTTTATGCAAAGTTTGCGATATTTAAATTACATATGCAAGTTTGGGGTGCTTGCTTCACATCCCTTCAAAGTTTGAGGTTTTTTAATTATTTTTCCCTAAATAATAAATGCTAGAGGTTACATCATGGGTACACCTATATAAAGTCCATCCTTCTCATCTTTTATCATATCAAACATCTCTTTCTTTCTTTCTTTTTATTCCAATGTTCTCTTTTTTTTTGGAAAGAAAATATTTTATTGAATGAAAGGTTGAGTACACAATGCAAAAAGAAGAAAACAAAAAAGAAACAAGAAATCTAAAAGCAAAATAAACAACAAATATTATGCCCACGGAAAGTTTTTGGACTGTGATTTAGTGTTCATGCTATGACGCCTTTTATTTTTTTGAGTCTTTCTGTAGATCTTGAGTTGTGTATTAAGATTCTCTGTGGGCAGACTTGTGTCTGAAGTGACGAATTGGGATTTATAGCAGATCTCTCTATTGAAGCTGAAATCACATATGTCTTCGCGACTGGAAATGGGTAGTCGTCTGTCAGTTTCAGTAGCGTGTTCTAGAAAGTCATCTAAAAAATATGAGTCATCAAAGGGATCAAAGCTGTCTGACGTGTCCGAGTAAGCCTTAAGCAACAATTGCTTGTGGTGATTTTCGGTATGGAGAGGTTGTTGAATCTTGTATCCGAAGGCCTTGATTTCTGCAATAAAAATCTCTTTGGATATAGATGAGACCTCCTCAGAGTTTGACGTGCCCCCTGTGAATTTGAGTAGACCCACAAAATTAGAGAATATTGTCAAAAAATCAACTAAGCAGGAATTTGTTTGACCCGTGGGAATAAGTATGGAGCTCCCTTTTTGCTTAGCTATTTTCACGTAGCTGCCAGAGTGCCAGATATGTACACTTCCGAAGAGACAGTGATAGATCCAAATCTGTTTCTCCGCTTGTTTTTAAAAAGGTCGGTACCAATGATTTGTGTAATAAACCTGATGATTTGACGGGCAGCCTCAAAATTAAAAGTAAACCTAAGCATAAAGGATTTTTTGTCTTCCCTCTCTTTTTCTTTCTTCTTTATTCATATTCCATCTTCACACTCTTCTTACATCATCATTTTCAGAATTACTTTGTCAATGCACTGAACAAATTGATGTTTGAGAATAATCAAAAAGTCACCGAAAGGTCACCAGAAAATTAGAGGTATCGAAATTTTTGTCTGTATGGTATATAAATATTGTCTGTGACATGTTGATAATGATATATATTGTCTGTAACGATAGACGTAAAGTAGTAATATTTTATATAACTTCATCATATACAAAAAATGTGTGTGTACAAATATTAGTTTGTTTGCAGTGCTCTGTGTACAGACAAATAATGTTGAAAGAAGTCAGGATGCGGTTGCACAAAAAATGTTTGTATACACAAATAAAAAAGTGTACACGGACAAATAATGTTTGTTTGAACAAACAACTAATGTCTCTGTACAAAGACATTACTTTCCGTGCAACCACCATGACATTTATGCAAAAAAGTACGCCAAACAATGTGATTTACACATAAACCTAATGTGTGTGCATACAAACATTGTAACATTTTCATACATTTGTACTTTTTTAAAATTAAGGAAAAAATAATTTAAACACCCCAATTTTTGAGGAATTATTGTTCGATAAGTGCCCAAACTTGTCTATGTAATATATATACTTTGAACTTTATATAAAAAGTTATATCACCGTCATCGTCATATGTTTTTCTTTCATTTGTGAAATACACAATACTACCCCTGATCTATATAGCAGAAATACTTTTAGTTTAATATTTACCAACACACGATTTTCAGCATTAATACATTTAATTGACTATTTGTTAAAGTATAAAAAGACATATTCTCAAATTTTAAACCTAGACAAATTTATAATGTATTTTATATAGAACAATTATTTAGTATATTAATAAATAAAATGCAGTTAAAGTAGAGTGTGTATACAATGCAAATATTCTATTTTGCCTTTTACACTAGTCGCACTCTACTTTGACTGAATTTTATTTATTAATCTACGAACTATGTACTACTAAATAGTTGTTCTATATAATTGGACTATAAAATTTTAATTTTAAAATAATTTTTACTAATAGTCAATTAAATTTGTAGTAATGTGTTAGCAAATATCAAATTAAAGTATTGCAATTACATAGACCGGATGTAATATTGTTTGTTTCATAAATGAAACTTTAGAATGTTTCCTGCATCATAATAAAAGTGTGGAGTATTTTAAATTATGTATTTATCATAATAAATTTACATTTTTGAAAGAAAACATATGATCACAATGCTATGATAACACTTTACATAAAAATCAGGGTGTATATATTATATATGTAAAATTGGGATACTTACTTCATATCTGATGGAGTATATGGACTCCGACCCTCCGATCTACCGACTATTGGGCCTGGACAGCGGCCCACACACGTTTAGCGGATTCATATATTGTACATTATTATTATTCAGATGTTCTAGATTAGCTTTTTATACTATCAGTCCATTTATGTAATCGGGTTTGTCAGGCCCACATTAGAGGCCCAGACCCGGATTTCTCTATATATGCTCCTTTTTGGAGCTTGTAAACATAACTCACGGTTCATTCACAATACACATATCTCCTTCTCCACTACTCTTGTTCAATCTCTTCTTATTATACAATATGGATATTAATTATCCATCAATATCTCTTAAATGTTTGGTGTATTTAAATTACTTTTCCCTAAAATTAAAATATACTTGTACACATTTTTAATAATGAATCCTACACCTATTTTTTTCAGTCAAGCGGCCGTTTTTCCTGGGCTTTTAATTCTTCCGCTGACTTGATAGATTGAGCGGCTCTTCGATTTTGAATTTTCCCCTGTGACGAGTTTCTTGGTGTGAACAAGAAACAGAGACAACAATAGTGAGAGGATGACATCATCAAGTGAAGGTCATGAGCGAAGCTTAGGGGAAAAATTGGAACATATATAGATTCAAGGTCATCTGTGATTGGTTGCGAAAGTGAAGGCTTGACAGAGAACATGATAAATAAGAGGCAGGGTGAGAAAGAAACTACACTAATGTTGGCCCATCCCCCTCTTGAACCGCCGTCGAAGTATATTTGGGCGATGAAGCAAGAGTCTTACTTTTTCGCTTTTCTATTTTTTAATTTTCTGAAGTTTATTGTTTACTTCCGATTGTGCATTTTATTTCATTGTAAGATTGTGAATTTGAAGGTGGGTGACGAAAGGTTTGTGTTAACTGTCTTTGGCTCATTTGCATCCAGTAAGGGATCAATGAGTTATATCACTTATTTAGAGTGATAAGCTGTGAGTCTTGTTTGAGGGTCGATGATTGTTTGTGGTCTTTTTACTCATTATCTGAATGATGTGTTATTAATTTAAACCTATTTCTTCCATAAAAAAATAAAGAATCATACACCTTGCATCTAATGTTGTATCCATATTTTGTTTATTTAATGGGGGCAAAATAACATTCAATTACAATAAAAATTTTACTGAAACATAAATAGTACATTAACTTAATAAAAATTTGCCTCATTGGGAGCACTTTCAACCATTTTATTTTTGTAATGGATTTCAATTTTTATTTTTCCTAAATTCAAAATAGGACAGATAGTGTGCCTCTCAGTGGGTTTGAAAATAGTTGTTTTAAAACAAATGTCAAAACAATATCGCTTAGCGTCTTATTAAAGGATGAGGAATATTTCAAAATCTATTGTTTTATATAGTAAAGCTCAGTTATAAGTCGCTGATGTGTCTTTCTCTTATTGGTTAACAAAATTTGATTAAAACATTAATTTAGAAAACACGGGTGAGAAAAAATAGGAGAGAAAATAGTTGGAGGAAAAAGTTGAAACAAACTAAAGAAAAAATAGGAGGAAAGAGCTCAAGAAAAAATAATGTACAAACGTGATCATACAAATTGTAGAATCCTTAATCACTTTTGATTTTTATTATTATTTTTTATTTCCACACATGTGTACGCGTACAATTATAACATCAGAGCATACATACGAGATAATGCATACTTGGACGGCAATCCATCCCAGAGCAAGTTAGATCAAACCAGAACAAACCACATCAGAATTGGATAATTATTATAAAAATACAAAGAAATCAGACCAAACCAGCAAATTACAGTCCAAGTAATGATACGGAACAAGATAAAAAAATATTTTTATCACTTCATGAGGTACAAATTCTTTAGTAGTGTTTTTCATTTTAACTCATAATTAATTGGCGTGCTGCCGGGGCATTGCCCCGGGCTCTGCACTAGTATGATTAAAAATAATGTCATGTTCAAAAAATGACTACTGTATTTCCTCAAAATAGAAGGAATTTTTCAAATTTTGATTAAAATCAGTGTCATGTTTTGGTATTACTAGGTATTAATATATAATAAAATATTTCAACCATCACGATGATTTTTTATATTTAGGGAAAAATATGAGTTGGGTCATCCGGAAACAGTGTAGGGGTAAGGGTGTTTTCTTTTGGACTGAAATTCGCTGGTCTGGTTTGGTCTGGTAAACGTCTGGTCTCTGTGTATTTTATAACTACGGAAGTTAAGTCTGGTGTGATCTGATCTTGTCTGATATGGTCTGGGACTGAAAACAGTCCAAAAGGAAATATCATAAGACTACGTATATCCAACCGCCCTTTAACCCACCGTACGTGAGAATCTTTGCGGTACTGGGTAATGATGATGAAGGGAAAATATGAGCTGGCAATGCATGTTAAAAGATCGAGTGCAATAGCTGTCCTCATTGCCTCTTGGACCATTTGAAGTGCAGCCAATGAATTAGAGTGAGAAAACCTAAAAATTTGTGTATTCACTCTATGGATCCTTAAATTGGGTGTATAAGAGGGTGTGGGGTAAATGGGCATTTGACTATTTGGGAAGAGAGTAGAAATATCAACATACGGTCAAAAACTAAGGAGAAAAAATGAAGGGTCACAATAGACCACAAGCCCATGCAGGAAGGCAATGCATGACATAACTTTTGTTAATCAAATAGTTCAAAAATGCAAATCTTCATTTAAAAAAATCTGAAGCAAAGGGAAAGGATAAAACAGGTTAAAGGAGGATCATAACATGGCCACAACAAGAGAAATAAATGTTCAGAAAATCAACTTTTCTTGGCCATTGTATGCATTCATTCCTTTAATCTTCATTTTCTTGTGTTTCTTCTATATATTTGCACAATCTCTGTACTCCCAATCTTATCAACTTTCTCCTTATTACCCATTATCCATCACACCACCTTTTTCAACTCAACCCCTCTCCTTAATCCCTCCAAAAGGTACAAACCTTAACTTTGATAATTTTCATGTTTCCAAAGCTTTCACATCTAAGTATCTAATCCTCTAATCTTTACTTTTTGCTCATTGCAGGTAAGGTAGAAGAGGAACATGCATGTGACTACACAAATGGGAAATGGGTATACGACAATCTTGGGCCATTATACAATGAGACAAGCTGTGGGACCATGAAAGAAGGGAGGAATTGCTTGAGCCATGGAAGGCCTGATAAGCAATATCTGTATTGGAGATGGACCCCAGAAAACTGCAAACTTCCCAGGTTTGATCCAAAGACATTTCTTGAAACCTTGAGGAACAAGCATCTAGCCTTTGTGGGTGATTCGATTGCCAGGAACCAATTGGAATCACTTCTGTGCATGATAGCCACTGTTTCCACACCTGAATTGGTTTATTCACATGGTGAGGACAATAAGTTTAGAAGGTGGTACATTCCAACCCACAATTTGAATGTCTCCATTTACTGGTCACCATTTTTAGTGAAGGGCATTGAGAAAAACAACGAAAAGAATTATAATGTCCATAACTTAGAGTCTGTGGATGAGAGGTGGGCTTCTGATATAGGGAAGATTGACATTTTGGTTTTATCAGTAGGGCAGTGGTTTAAGCTTCCTGCTGTTTTTTACTATAATGATCAGGCATTGGGTTGCCATATTTGTGAAGGAAAGAATTATACAGAAATTGGATTTGATGGCCCACTTAGGATGGCATACAAGACTGCCTTCAAATCAATTCTTGAACGAAAAGGTCCTACTGGTGGTTCAATCAATGCTATTCTCACAACATTCCCTCCTGCACATTTTGAAGGGGAATGGGACAAGTTGGGGACTTGTTCTAAGACCCTACCCTACGAACCAGAGGAGAAAGTTCTTCAAGGGATGGAAGAAGATATGCGGAAGATTGGGATAGATGAAGTGAGAGAGGCAAAACAAAAGGCCAAGGAGTTTGGGAACAGGATTAAATTAGAGGCATTGGATATTACTAAGTTATCATTGCTTAGGCCAGATGCTCACCCTGGTCCATATATGCTTCCTAATCCTTTCGAAAATGGAGTGAAGGATCGCTTACCTAACGATTGTGTTCACTGGTGTTTGCCAGGGGCTATTGATACATGGAATGAGATTTTGTTAAAGGTTATTAAGAGATTGATGTGAAATGTATAGATTTTCCATTGAAGCCATACGGTTTTGTATTTTTGTCCGTCTTATGTGTTGATGCTGTTTGAGTATGGAATTTTGTGAGTACAAAATCTGAAAATGGGACAAGAAAAGCTGACCGCTCAAGCGGTTTAGCCAACTCTCCTCTTTTTGCGGCCTATGGGCGAGATCATATCTCATCATCATTACCCCAGTACCGATAAGGCTCCCCACCTACAGTGGGGTAACGGGGGATCGGATGTACGCAGTCTTACCCCTGCATGAAAGAACAGAAAGACTATTTCCGGATGTCCCATAGTGAGTCATTTTTCTTTATTCCATCATATTCCCGAGCCTAAAAATATTGAGTCTTTGGCTCCATTGCAAAAGGTAGAAAAGGTTGTATAAAAAAATCACTTGTCGTTTGTCCTTCCTCATACCCCTTCAATAGGCTGGACCTTGTTACTTTGCCAAGTTAATGTCAATCAGTTGCTTTCTCAAAACATGTTTAATGTTTGGAGGACTACTATTATTATTAATTCATCGAAATTTCGACCATTTTTTAATGATTTTTTCCATTAGCCTAAGGAACATGCCCTTGTTGTCCACCATTCTGGTCAAGCACACATAATTTGGGCACAATAATAACTACCTCATTCAGATCTTTAACTACTTTATCTCTATAGATATATCCATTTAGATGTATCATTGTATCCTATGTATGTACAAGCTAGCATGGGAACTTTATGACTTCCTCATTAATAAAGCTCATAAAGATTCTGACATGGAATCCCTGATGTAGAATAGTGGATTTTCAGATCATTCTGAAAATGTGCATCGTCAACCCCTTTCCTCTTGTATTTGTACAAAGAATCTGTTGGAGTTCTCTCACGCATTCTGCCATTGATGGCCTTTCACAACTATCAGACCGGACACATCGCGATGCTAGATTTGCAAACATGGTGACAGACTCCATTGTGTATGACCCCCTGCTCATCCCTGGGTCAATCACTTTATAAAGTTTCTTCTTGTCTTTAATAATATGTCTGACCTGTTGCAATAAGCCAACTCATCCCTTTTTTGCTCATGTTTCTTAAAACTAGACCGGCTTCATAATGTTAGATTACCTGTAGTACCAGATTCCGATCACTTGGGCCAAGGTGGAGGTCTACTGCCCCACGTCCAGTCAAGAGCTCAAGCAGAACAACACCAAAAGCATAAACATCACTTTGTAAAGTAAGTTTTCCTGTCTGTCACCCAATAGGATAAAACTTTTGTCAATATGTGATATGAATTAAGTGCTCGATCCCATTAGTAGAATGAATTTATATAAAGGTTTTTATTATATGATAATAGTTACACCCTACACATTTTCTTATTCTTTAAGTAGATTACTGATATGCATATATGTGTGTGACAGTGATTTGTGATGAAAATGGTGGAAATACCATGATAAATTATTACCTTGAATTTCTGAATGGTATTTCTGAAATAAGTCACTTTAGGATTATAAGTTTTAACATGTATTAAGGCTCTCACTGGGAATCTTGAAACTTACTTTCCTAAATCATTTCGCAAAAGTTTCCTGTGTTTGGTTTGTTGGATAAAATGAAGTCAATGGAAAATGATTTCGCCTTCAAAAGGGATATCACCCCAAAAATGTGAAAAATGATTTGCCTTTCGTTTGTTTGATTGTTTGACAGAAGTCATGTTCCAACTTTCATTACCGATTGGCATACCAATCCTCTGGTTATTCATGAAATACTGAATTGAGATCACAACTTAGTTCGACAGTAGGCTAATCATGAAATTATTGTTATCAACTTATGAGTTATGATTCGTTCTCTTTGGAATGTGTGTTCTCCCATATTATTATTGTTATAATGAAGGTAATTTCATGAGGAATAGAAAAATGCTACTCCATTTAATATCGGAACATTTAATATACCCGTGTATACTCAGGATCAAAGTAGCCAAAAGTCCCAAACACATTTGATGTGACACATATTTCCTTGCCTTCTGGCATCAACTTAGCAAGCCCAAAATCTGATATCTGCAAAGATAACCATGATTATAGCAGTACCATCTCCGTCCCAAAAAAACATGTTTTTATCACTAAAAGCACCATTACAAACATGAGTTTTCTTTTTTGGGGTGGTATACACTATAAAGTACTCCTCCCCATAAGTTTATTCCTACCTTCCTTTTCGGGATGTTCCAATATGTTCTTCTGTTTACATCAACCACAAGTATACTATTTCACATTCTTAATAAGTGTGATGAGTTAAGATGGGAAGAAATTTGGGACGTCACGTATATATAAAAGCAACAAGAGCTCATCATCATATGTGTGGCTAGCTTATTGGAGTCAGTACCTTAGCTTCGCACTTGGTGCTTAGAAGAATGTTGGTGGATTTGAAGTCCCTATGAACAATAGGAATCCCAACAGCAGGACTTGAATGGAGATATGCAAGGCCTCTTGCTGCTCCTAAAGCCACATTCAGCCTCATAGGCCAATCCATCTTCCTTTCTCCTTTCCCTGCATTCCACCTCTAACACTTAGAGTAGTTAAATGCATATGACTTAAACTGATTTACAGAACTTTTTCCAACAAACAAACCATGTAAGTGGTCTTGAAGATTTCCCTTTTCCATATACTCGTATACGAGAAATCTGTGTTTTCCATCAGCACAATATCCCACCAAAGATATGAGATTTGGATGGTCCAGTCTACTTAAGATATCAACTTCCACACGAAACTCTCTCTCCCCTTCCACTTCTTTGTATGATGGCAAGTCCATTTTCTTGATTGCTACAACCTTTGGATCCAATAATAATAATATTAGATTTTCTATTATAGTTTAGTTTATGTACACACATATACAGTCAGGCGCATCTGAACAGATTCCAATCTGGCCAACTTCGACTTTTGGCCAAAAAATAATTAAGAAATCCATATTTTCACTCACTAGTATCAAATATTAACTTCAGCCGTTAGATCATGTCAAAAGTTCAATTTTACCGAAGATAGCTCCATTTTAAATGATGACCTATGCTTAACCTTGAGATAATATCTGGGAAGAAAAAGTGAGTTTCTTGCGTCTGTATTCGAATGAGATGAAGCTTTAATGATTAAATTAATAGTTGATACTACGTGAGTAAAAAGAATATGAAATGTAGAAGTTGACTCATGAAGAAGTTGGCATGACCAAATTCTTACCTCTCCGGTTCGGATTGTTCCCTTATATACTCGACCAAATCCTCCTTCCCCAAGGAGGTTTTCATCACTGAAAGAATTTGTTGCCTCCTCCATTTCTTTCAGTGTAAAAACTAATGAGCCATGGTGTCTTTTTGCAGGTGGATTAAGATCTTCAAGCTGCCACTCTTCTGCAGGTTTGTATACCCCTGGTGAAAAAATGCACACTTTCTAATGGTAAATTTTGAAGAAATAAGAAATACAAATTCTGGCATGCTTAAGCAGGGGGGAGGGGATTAAAGCAGAAGCAGAAACATGCATACATGGATCGATCTGCCCATCCGACTTGCTTCTCCTGCGTTTATTCCATGCTGTAACTAGACCAAAAGGCATGTTATTTATATCAATGTTCTTTTTCCCTTCTTCAATTAGATCCTGCCATGCTTTTATCAAGAAGGTTTTTAAGTTCTAATTTAATAATTCTATATATGCATATTACAAGAAACACAACCAAATAAGAATGTATGAAGCATGAAACATCTGCAATAACACTACTACAAAATTAATAGAACAAGGATACAAATGTGAATCAGAATCTTGGTTGGATTATGAATAAAGCAACATCTAGTGGCTTGTCTGAGTTTAAACTGAGGTGGTTCTTTAATCCTAATCCACACACACAGTAACAGTCAACAACTAATGTGATATTGGACAATTCAACAAATGAAATATTTAAGAAGAGAGTTAAACTTAAGGAAAAAGACTTCCCAAACCTGACACTGCCATGGCTCCAAGAACCCAGCCTAACTTCTAAGTTCTAACTTGAAGCATAAGAGAATAATATATTAATTGGAGAGAAAGAAAGAAGAGAAAAGGTTGCACGTGTTACTTAGTTACCTTTTCCTTACAAGTTACAAGTGACTGGTGGGGTCAGGAATGAGCTTGGAACTGAAAGAAAGCTGATCTCCCCCCATACATTCCCATTTTCCTCCAAGTTCCTCTACTGGAAAATGGCTTTAGTTGAGTGGTCATTTTCAGATGGCTTTCATTGAACTTTTCCTTCTCCAGAATATTTTTATTTCTTAATGCTCTAGCCTATATGAATCTCTACAATACCCTAACGGCCACTTACTATTTTGGTAATAACTTTCAAAGTCATTTTCAAATCAAGATTTTTATAATAATGGTTTAAAAAGAGAAGAAATAAAAAACAAAGTGGTGGATTGGCCCCATAGCCCCACTTGATGTGACCTCTGCAAGTTTTCAGATGTTTATCCGTTCTTATGTAAAACTAATCACACTCATTAAAAACTCAAAATTGTGTGATTAGTGAGTACTCCCTCCGTCCCATTTTGGTTGTCCTACTTTCCTTTTTGGGTTGTCCCAAAATGAATGTCTGGTTTACTTTTTTGGCAAGAAATATGCGGTCCTTATCATTTTACTTTATTCTACTCAAATCTCAATCACAATTTTTACTTTTCAACAACTTTATTAATAATCATGCGAAATTGAAAGTGTACAACCAATATGGGATGAAGGTAGTACAATTTATGCTAGAAATTAATAACAACTCCATAATGTAACATTTCCCCTAAAAGTAAATGAAGGGTACCTTTTTAACGGACAAAAAAGAAAGCATGAACATTTTTAGAGCAAATGAACCATTACCACTGCCAAAAAATTACGGGATTGACACATATTGAATACGGATTGATGACTGGATTTCGTGCCAAATAACTCTTGACAAAATGCTTTTGGAAAATTCCTATCAAAAATTGCTGTTAATCTCATGTTTTTTTTGTAGTTTAAGTACTTTTCCATTAAAGAACATATGTACGTGGTATTCATTTATTTCCAAGCGAAACGGGGTGATAGTGATATATTATCTGTCTCATCTCTATTTAAATTATAATTGTATAATTTTCATTTTATTTTGCAACATTGTATAATTTTCAATTATCTTAATCACAATGTGCATTAATCAAGTGGGGCTATGACTTATAAGGACACTTCACTACTCTTCATTTTTATTTAATTTCTTTTTGTAATTATTGTTATAGAAGATCTAAAAATGACTTTACGGCCATTTTTTGGAGGAACGAAGAGGAAGAGTTAGCCATATTATCAGTAAGACATGCAGTAACTTCGTATTTGTTTTTAAGATAAAAAAATGATTGATTGACTTGGTTGGCGATAATTTCTTTAAGTGGAGTTTTGGGTCATTGTTAATTCCTTCAGATCACAAAAAAAAAACTTTTGGGAAATCTAGTTTCTAAATTATTGGATAATTCTTTATTTGCAACAACTAGATCTTTTCATTGACGGAGATTTCCACAATCATCATATATCAGGACACACATTATAAATATATTTGCTCTCAATATAGATGGTAATTGTATTTATTCATATTTTAATGCATATATTGAAGTATTGAAAGAAAACACAGATTGGACCCTCCAGCAGATTGAAGGTCCACTCATCAGAAGATGTTAATTAATCATTGAAGTATATATTAAGCCTTGAGATAAACTTCAAGACCCTTGAAGGTCTTAACAGCAGCATCCTTGATGAGGCTGGGCTCTGGGACCTCATCACTGGCCTTCTCAAATTCACAGCACCACTTAACCAGGCTTCCATCTCCCTGTGGAGTCACCCCCACATTAGCCTTGAAACTCTTGTAGTATTTCAGGATGTCTCCCTCAATCACATTGTAACTCAAGCTCTTCTTCTCTTCATCCACTGACTCTATCTTCTCCTTTGAGAATGTCACCAGTGGTGTCCCTTCAAATTTCAAAACCAAATTCTTAGTATGTATGGTAAAACACCACACCTACAGTAATATATACTTGTATATGTACTACTCCATCTTTTTAAACAAATGCACACATCATACATCTTTTAGGAGAGAAAAAGTACCAATTAATATGATTGATGTTAAAGTTCTTGCTTGACAATTTTTTTAGTGCGGGCTCATTTTATTGTATTTAAAACTTCAAATTTCATATTGATATTAAAGTATATGCTTGAAATATATGGTAGTTGGATTCAAGAATGTTGAGAAAATTATAGCAAATGAGTTATTGTCATACGTTGGAAAAGGCATGCATGCATGATCATGATATCCGCAATCCCATAAAATTATTCTCACTTATCATTTTGAATTTTAACGTAACATTCATTTACATACATTTTGCTTACTCAAGCACAGTAGTACATTTCCACTTCTATTCTCACTTTCTTAGTAAGCATGCCAAGTTAAATTAGAAAGTATTAAGGGCACATCTAAAAATATGGGTCTCTACTACATCTAAGCATCGGTGGGGCGGGTTAAATGTGAAAAATGAAAGATTTACACCAAACATTGAAAGAAAGTCATTGTAAATTTCGGCCGATCATAGCTCTAACATAGATCGCCCCTATAATGTAGGTACATACCTTCGGCAAAGGTGACCAAGCGGACGGAGCCAACAGAAACTCCATCACCTTCAACCACCTCAATACTCTTGTATTGTTCAGGGAAGGCCTTGGGGAAGACGTTGATGGAGTCCTTAAGGCTACTCCACAGCTTCTCTGCACCAACATTGACTTCAACATCCACTTCGATCTTTCCTTGACCCGCCATTTCCGCCCTTCAAATCTTAGACTGGATAAGATAACAGATGATTTTGATCGATATAATAGATGTAAGTGTAGAGTGTATGATGGAGAATAGAATGAGGATGCATGTATATATAGTGCCTTCGTTCCTACACGTAGTAATTGCCATTAATGGTTTTGTTGACAAAAGAATGGACCGTCTAGGCTATTTATTGGTGGCGGTGTTTGTAGCTTCATTTATTAAGACCAATACCCACGCTGTATAAACTTAATTAATTTAGACTTCAGTCCCATCTTAATTAAATTAAATTAAATGTTTTCACTTACTAATTTCAATCAGTAAATTAACAGATCGAACTCAAAAAAATTACGCCGGACTCATCGGACTAGAATTAGTAGATCAAGGATGTTATTACTTCGACTTTATATGTTCGAAACCAGATCAGATCAGATCAGACTTGGATAGTTTGAAAGATACAAAGAAATCAGATCAGATCAGACTAGACCAGTCCAGTCCAGATCAGACTAGACCAGTCTAGTCCAGATCAGACTAGCAAATTACAATCCAAGTAACAACATTCTAATAAGAGATCAAGATCTGATTAGAATATTTGTATGGGTGTAAAAATATGAAATAGTGATAAAAGTAGTGGTCAAATGTCACATTTACTCATCCCTTACTATTCCGCACCCCTTTTAGAAAATTTGGATCATTTAATTTAGAACGGTGCTCTCATGTTCGTTGATGCATTTGTAAGACAAGATAGTACGCGGCGCGGAGACAATTTTTTTTCAAACTTAAATTGCAATTTACTGACTCAAAATAAATACGCGTAAATGAGATTAAAAATTATCTTAAATTTTCTAAATAGGAGTAAAAACATTACAATGTTTCAAAATATGATTGTTGTGTTTTTATTCACTAAATATCAGTTGATATACTATGGAACAATCTGTTGTGAGAATGCTGCTCCCACAGATAAAAGTGTGTGTTAGTGTTCATGCGGGTGAACATTTTTTTTTTCATTCTTCAGTAGCAGAATGATGTAACTCGCGTATAAAGAAATGTAGCTCATGCCGATAAGAAATGTAACTGCAGGCAAGTGGAAATGTAACCAATGAAAACAAGGAGTAATTTCTCAATTATTTTACGTAAATAGTGAATATGTTTTTTAAGACCATAAATAATGTTTTTTTAAATCATACGGAGTATTTTTTTGCCAAATGAATCATTTTGTTTTACAAAAAAGTGATTTTTTGTTTCAATAGGGACTTGCTTAAATAGTGAATATGTTCTATTTTTAATATTAAGGTCATAAAAATGTTTTTAAAAAAAATCACTTGTTTTGCCAAATAATAAATCATTTATTTGTCCAATTTTTTTTTTGCAAAAAAATGATTCTTTTATTTCAATAGCAGGGCTTTATGTTGTGATGTAACTGTGTTATGCAAAATGTAACTCACGTTGATGAAAAATCTAACTTAGGTGTACGCAAAATGTAATTTGTTAAGGCAAGTCTAAATATAACTCACGTATAGAAAGATGTAACTCACACATAAAATAGATGTAACTCGTGAATAAGAAGATGTAGTTTCATATACTATCAAATGTAAATAATGAAAATAAGGAGTCTAATTGCTCAAATTAATTTACATAAAGAGTTAATATGTTCTGTTTTTAGTATTAAGGCCATAAAAATGTTTCAAAGAAAAATATTGCTAAAAAACTTCTTTTTTGCCAAAAGTCATTTTTTGGCAAAAATAAAATCATTTTTGTTTGCAAAAAAGTGATTTTTTTGTGAAAATACCCAGGGTTTATTTTGAACTCGTGTTATGAAAAAATGTAACTCATGTTGATGGAATATCTAACTTAGGTGTATGCAAAATGTAACTTGTTGAGGCAAGTCCTAATGTAATTTACACATAGGAAGATGTAACTCAGATCTAATTCCAGAAATTGTCTATAAACATAACCCACACATATGAAAAATGTAATATAATTTCATGTGTTATGAAATTCAATTTATATCGAAATAAACAAATTTAATGTCTCAAAAATGTTAAAAAACATATCAAAGAGATAAGAAATACTATGTATATATTTTTTGCAAATCGATAAGAAATATATTATAGAAAAAAAATATGAATATCAAATATAAAAAATATTACACAAAAAATATATTCTATAGTAATTTCACTTGAAGATAAAAAAACAGTAGAAAAAATGTATGATTATGAAATACAATATACTTATTTTACGTGGTTTAAAAAGATTTGGTAATAATTTGGTAAAGAAAAAAGTGTGAATATAAAAAATATTGCAGAAATAAAAATAGTGCATAAATATGAAATGCAATATACTTATTTTATTTAGATTGATGAACTTTTTGGTATGTATTGATAAAATAAAAAATAGATTCAATTAAAATTAAAGTTGAAGATAAAGAAAAGTAAAATTACAATTAATTTTTTAGTATTTTACTTTGATGGAAAAGGAGAATAAATGAAGAAAAGAAAAGGGGAAAAGTGTCAAATAAGCCCCCTTACTATAGTGAAAATGTCAATTAAATTCGTGAATTCAAAAAACACTCAATTAACACCCGAGCTATGAAAAAACTTTCAAAACGGGTTTTTATTAGGTAACCAACAGGTTACCAAATGAATTTTCACACGTGGCGACAAGTGGTAACACATGGTGACACATGGTGACACATGTGTAAGTTTTTTCTTTTTTCTTTTCTTTTGCTTTCCTTTCTTTTTTTCTTTTCCTTTTTTTCTTCCTTCTCCCTGGTTCGTCGCTTCTCTGGTTCATCCGCTACTTCTCCCCTGCGCCATTAAGTCCGTCCACGGAAATGAAGCTCCACCCATTTAAACATCAAATGGATCTTGCAGTCATCAAACTTAACTGCTGAAAACATGAGATTCTTTGAAAGTGTGTTATCCATAATAATAAATAAAGATAAGAGTAAAAGGCTAAAAACAAGTGGATTTTTGTCCAGGGAGTAACCTAAGAGATTACAAGAACAAGAAGGCTCTGATACCACTTGCTGGTCCCGGTTACACACGAAACAGTCTGGGGGTGAATAGAATGTTCTGGTTTCAAACTTGTTGCGCGTCTAAGGAAGAGACACACAGAGAGGGTCAAGTCCTAATAGAACTGACCGGCAACGGATTAGGTCTTCTGGTCGGGTAGCCTTGCAAACACACTAAGGCAGTTGCCTTCCTGTAAACTCTAAGGGCGAGATTTGCTGAACACAAAGTCCAAGCCTTTTTTAGATTAACAGTTAGAAACAAATGCAAGATTTAAAAGCAGTGAGTAAATGACACTAGGGATTTTTATAGTGGTTCAAGGAAAAACTTGTTTCTCTAATCCACTGTTCCACTAAACTTGTAAATATCAGGTTACAACGCTTAGTCCCTAGCACTTAAGAAGCACTCATCGTCTTCTTCGAGCCTAGTTGTCACCTGGGATGTACTTCCTTGCTTCCTGATGATTGATCTCGTTTCACTGAGCTTTTTTTAAGTATCCCCACTTCACTACTCTAGTTACTTTGAGATGCCCTTCTTAAACAAGAAGATATTTTAAGGATAAAAGGTTTTCTCCAACGTGCTTCATGAAAGGTATGTAGTTGAAGTTTTCGAAGATGTGGAAGAACTGGAGGAACTTTCTTTGAGTTGGTTTGAAGGATATGAGAATATGATCTTCCCAACGTCAAGCTTGATTTCTTGTGGAAAATATAGAAGATGAGGTCTCAAGAGAGTTTGATAGCTTGAATTCAAATTGTAAGTGCGTAGAAAATTATCCATCCAGTGCTTCAAAGTGTATCATATATACTGATTCCCGTTGGAGTGTAGAAAACATCTACATTAAATGCTTGTACTTTTGATTTGACCGGTTGGTTCCAAAAGTAGGCGACTTGCTATTTTGGGGCGTATTAAATAATATTCGCCTGGATCCTTGGTCAATCATCAGCTTTAAATATCTCAACGTGTGAAGCTCATTAAATGAGCATTTAATGCGCATACTGTAGCTCTTCTGTTAAGAGGCTCCTGGCCGTTAGGGAATATCCCGTTATAATAGATGACTTATGAAGCTTGAATAGAATCTCTAAGTGTAAGTTGTTCTGATGGATCTTCTGATAGAGGCTAAGTCCACGGAGGTGCTTGAGCAGTTCTGTTCAGAAGGCGAGGCAGAAGACCTGAGGTATTCTGGACCGTGGAATACATCTAGATACTTACACATGGAAAAATTCTACTCGCTCTGTCCCTTATAACTTTGCCAACTTTCTCTTTTTGGATGGCTCATTAACTTGGCCACTTTCCCTTTTAAAAAAGAATTTGTGGTTCCAGTTAATTCTCTCTCCTCTGCACAAACCTCAATCACAAATTTTTACTTTATTAATTCTCGTGTCGGTCAAACTTGGCAAAGTTATTAGGGACAGAGGGAGTAATACACAATTTCTAAAGGGGTACTCTAATATCCTAATTAGTCCAGCATCATCAAAATCTAAAACAATATTTACCTTACAATCATGTGTTTTGTTCATGTGACCGAGCCAAGGAGGTTTGGATGAAGGCGGGTTTTAACCTAGGACAGCCAGCGAATCCTATTGCTACATGGATCTGGCAGCATTTGGAGGCAGCAAATGATGAAGAGCGGTGCAGCTTCATATCCATCCTACGGAGTATTTGGAAGAGAAGGAATGTGTGTGTATGGAAGGATAGATGGCAAGGTACATTTGGGGTACTCAATGCGACGGCGAGTATTATATCAAGTTGGAGGGATGTGCAGGATATCGGTCGAAAGGAGCACGGAAGGAAAGAAAGTAGCTCGTTGACAACTTGGAAAAGACCGGAGCATGGTTATGTTAAATTCCACCGGGAACTGCCCCAAATTCATCAAATGATTCCACCGGGAACTGCCCCAAATCGCGACGGCCGGACAGAAGCTCCTATAGAAGGACTTAGAAGTTGTTCTCTTTGTCTTAGAAGCTGTTTTGTTCGTCTTAATCTTATTACTTATTGTTTATTCTTATTTTATTCAGATCAGATCAGATCAGAAAAATTCAGATCAAAAAGATTCAAATCAGATCAGAAACATTCAGATCAGATCAGAAACATTCAGATCAGATTAGGAACATTCAGATCAGATCAGAAAAGTTCAGGC